CCTAAAAATTTAGTTTTAAAAGATGAAATAAATGAAAAAATTATATTTATTAATTAATATTAAATAAATATTAAAAGATTTTTTTTAATTGTCATTTTTATATTAATTACAAAGACAACTAATACATGTTTAAAATTGAATGAGTTTAATAACTTTAATAAGTAGTAACTTTCTTCAATATTTTGAAAGAAAGAATAAAAAAAAAGTATTGTTCATGACAAGAAGAATGATCCATGATGATTCATATTTTTTTCGTTATATGAGACGATAAGATTAAATATAATCATATATCTTATGCCATACTCTGTGATGTTCATTGGCCTTTCAGAATAATATTTAAAACTTTTCTATATGTTTTTATACTCAAATATAGCAAGCAGATATTATTGTTATCATTTTTATATCAAAATATCATTATAAAAGCGTTATTTTCACGTTAAAATGACGATAAATAACGTAATTAACTTGTTACTTGGGTTTTAATATATTTATAAGATACTTTTTTCAGACATTGAGCATTTTCTCGTTATTATAAATAGGAAAATAAGAAAATTGCAGTAAAGATATATTTGCTAGAATCAGAAAAAAATTTTTAAATCGACTTTGACAATATTGAAACAAGATAGTGTAATTGAAACTACATGTGAAAGATGCAGAAATATTATTAGGTGTTGGAATTAATTCGTAGCGTTTTACAAGTGATGGGAAGTACTTTCATTAATGTATTTTTTAATGCTCATGTGAAATAAATAACATTCTTTCATTAAAAAACGCTACGAATTAATTCCAACACCTAATAGAACACATATTATTGTATTTCAATGTAACGAGAGCACAGTTTAATGAACTTGACATAAATTTAATAATTTTATTATAATCTTATATAATTATTATGTAATAATTATATAATATATTTCATTAAAAAAGGATTTAAAATATTAGTTTGTTTTATTCTCAGAAATTTATATAGTCTTATAAAATATATTAATTTAATATTATGTTAACTTATAAAAATTAATATTAATTATAACAATGTAATATAATATAA